TTCATTACCCTCCCAACCTTTCTCAATCCTTCTACACCATCTATCAGTACTGTTGTATCGTCCACATATCCTACTACCTCTGTAAGCCCCTCCCCCTCCCCTTGTGAATTTGCTTTTTCTTCAACCATTTCATAAAACGGGTGTTGCATACATGCAAACAGAATTTGAAACATAGGACACCCTTGTCTCAGACCCTTCTCCATTTCCAACATGCTACCCAACCTACCATTTATTTGCACCTGTATCACCGCTCCTAGATACAGTATCTCAACCCACCTTACAATACCTTCATCAAAACCCAGACATCTTAAATTAGCTACCAGGAACTCCCTATTCACACGGTCATATGCATTCTCCCAATCAATGCCAAAATTCCTCCCCCCTTGCAACCCTTTAAGAATCCCCTAATCCAACTATGTCCATCCCTCATGCTACGACCCGGAATTCCCAACTGACCCTTATGCACAATACCACCTGTCACCCACTTCATCGTATTCCCTAGTATCTTCGCAAAAATCTTATAGTCAGTGCATATTAAAGATATGGCCCTGTACGTGCTCAGTGTTCTCCACTCCTTCTTTTTCTTGACTAGTACGACCACACCCGTCTCTGTGTCCTTCCTGCAGCAAACAATTCATTACCTGAACCAGACAATACTTTATGTGGTCCCATTGAACTTTATAAAAATTATTGGAAATGCCATTGATTCCAGGAGCTTTCCTCATTCTTAAATTGAACACCGCCTCTTTCACTTCATCCATACCAATTACTCCATCCATCTCAACTACTTTCTCCCTACATTTCCCCCAGGTTTGTACCCCCCATTTCCTCGCTACCTATCCGAATGTTACTCTTCGCCCATTTTCTTTTAAACCAATAATCAGCATAATTACTTATTCCATCAGTTGTCACTAGCATTTGCCCCTTGTTATACCCTTCCAAATCTTCACTAATCTCTAAATGTAAAATAGTGGACTTCTGTTGCCTGATTCGAAAATTTCTCAACACACTTCCCGAAGGCTTATCTCCCCATAGTACTGCATCCATCCCTGCCCTTACCCTCATTTCATCAAATCTTTCATTATGTATTTCCTTTAATTTATCTCTGAGCAATAATATGTCTTTGAGCTGCTGTGCCCCCCCTCTTTCATAACACTCACTGAGCTGCTGTTCCAAATAATTCTGTAAACCATACCTCCACCTCGACTCCTCCCTTCCCTTACATTTATAAAAACCTGCTATACCAGGTTTAGCCCTATTTTCCCACCAGTCCAAGATACTCTTTGCCCCATCCCTTGCCCTCCACAAATGTTTCCACCATTCACCGAACTCCGCACTCACCACCTCACTCCTCACTAGCCTTGCATTTAACTTCCAGAAACCTGAATGTATCTTTACCACACCCACCCAATCCAGCTCTGCCAAAACCGCCCTATGATCGGAAAACCCCACATCCAATGTTTTCACCTCTCTCACACTAACTGCCTCCGATGTATAAATCCTATCTAACCTCACTGAATAACCTCGTCTAACAAAAGTAAAATCTATTCGCCAAGCATCCCTCCCCACCACATCCCTAACCCCCACATCCTGCAGCACATTACATAACGCCCCTAACACACATTCCACCCCCCTTGGCTCCACGTCCGCCCCCTTATTACACAGTTACAATCCCCACCAATTATAGTGACTAGAGGTAAACCTCTTAAATGATAAATCTAGATGTCTCTTACAAAATCCTCTTTTACTTTGACTGTGTTCTCCACTGGCATGTAAACCCCTACAAAACATACCCTAGATTCTCCCTGCTCACCATCCACTCTCACCACCCTCCCCCCCTTCTTCCCACTTTATAATATGTAAGGGACCGTTTTCTTTCACAGCTACAGCCACTCTGCCTTTTAACCGAACAGACCCACTTACATACAATTTATATCCTTTTAATAACAATGCACAGCCTACCTTATAATTATGCTCTTGTATAAAACATACGTCCACGTTATACCTCCATAAGAACCATTCCATCCAAACACGTTTCACTTCATTCCTCAATCCATTGACATTATTTTAAAAGCGGCGGTTACTCCTCTGCCTCGGTACAAGTCCTACTATACTGTCCTGCTGAATAGATTCTTTTTTGGCCGATTGCTTGTTTACCCCCCTATCCCCCCATTATCCCTAGAACTGTTCATCCTTTCATTACCCTTCCCTTCACTCCCCATGTGGCTTACTTCCTTTTTCCAAGACTTTACTCCTGATCTTTGACCTGGAGTGAGAACATCGTCCATCTCCGACATTCCTGCCATTCTCTTACGTGAACTTCCTTCCCCACACACCACTTCATCTGTCTTTTCCTCACTGTGGACTTCTGCCACAACTGTGTGCACATTACCATTAGTGCACAAAGCATCCCCAATCACCAGATCTTGATGCGATTTTACCGGTACATGGTTACTCTTTGCAACCTCCATACTACCCTCAACTTCATTCAGAAAGGAGCGTAGAACCTCCTCCAGTAAGTCATCCTGTTGGCTTGCACACTTGTCATCACTCAATCTCGTCGTTGATGTTGCCTTCCCCGTGTCACCTGGTAAAGTTACACATCCATCCATTTCCACCTCTGCCCTATCAACTTCTTCACTCCAACAGCAAGGTGTCTTGGTTGGTCGTACTCCTGTCTCCGACGTAT